CAACCAAGAGAATGGCGTGGATCAGCGTGCCGTGCTTCGAGCCGGCCCGCCCGCCACGGCGGCCTTTCCACATTTACGTAATCTGCGACTAATGATACAATATTAACGAATTCCAGATAGCCTGACTCTGCGCTCATTTCCCTACCAGATAAGTCGGTTGTGTGCAACGCACGCGTGTGTCGCACGTAGCGTGTCTCACGTGGACGCGGGGGAGGGGGAGGGGGCGTGGCCGGCCGGGCGACTCCAGGCGACGTCGTCCGCTCAAGTGATTCGCCCAGGGTGGGTCGAAGCTTGTCGCGTCAATCCACAATTTTTTTTTAAGATTTGTTTGAAGATGAATGAACGAGTAGAATGATGACCAGTAAACTAATGAATGATAGAAGAATGAATGCATGATTCAGTTATCGATATTTTACCAATATTTTACTGTCTTATTACAATAAACCTGTCAACCATCTGCCCATCTGTAACGACGCCAATTTTTGAACAATATCGAGCTACTGCTCATGAACGCCTACGGAACTTTAACAGGGAAAAGTATGTCAAGGATGGTGACGATGCTTCTCTAAGGCGGGCGGGGCGGGGGCATTGGGTGGCGCCCACCCTTTACTCTTTACGGTAACTAAATGCGTTTTGCCGCGGATTTAGCATAATATGCTGCGTGGCGCTCCGCCATGGCTCCGCCCGACCCGACCGGCCGGCCGGCCAGATTTCTGGTGCGATTGTATCGAAAGGACGGCGAGGGGACTTGCCGGACTCGGCCAGGGAAGGCCGCGGAGCGCCGAGCGACCTCACGAGGCGGCGGCACTCGCGCTCGAGATTTTAACCGCCGATTAAACTATTATGGAGGTAGTCATAAGGGAAGGGTGCGGTGTGCGTGGTGATGCGTGCAGCCGCTGCGGTTTTTTTAGTGCGTTTCTACGCTTTCCATTAAAACGCGCGCACCGCGGTCTTAGCATGTCTGCGCCAGAATTTTAATACTTCTTTTTTGGGTTGTTTTGATATAAACCGGCGGCGCTCGGCGCGGCGGAGTTGTAGCGAAAATTCGCCGTTGGCTTCGCTTCCGAGAGGACGGCTCAGCGCGCTCCGCTCCAAGAGAGCCCACCGTGTCGCTTTGAAGTCGAAATGAGGGAAGCACGGAGTGGAAGCGAACGAGGCTTTACCGCTGCGCCGCCCTGCCCGGGCCCCGGCCCCGCTCAGGCCCTGCCCACCACCGCCACTCCCTGGCGGAGAGCCAGCCGTCCGGATGTCTCGGTGGGCGGAACGAATTCGGCCGCTGGTTCTTGAACCGCCTGCATCTGCCAGTGCATCTGCGGCTGCGCAGCGTCACGGCCAAGGCCTTCAGGATATCCGGGGCACTGCAGTTCGATGCACTTTTTCCCGCCCGGTGCGCGATATCGGCCGCCCACCGCAGCAGTGCTCTGTCTCTCTCGCACCTCTAGGGCACACCGCATGAGTGCGATAGAGACACAGCTACGAAAGCACTGTGTAGCCTGCAGCTGTCCTGAGTCAAGCAGGGCGTCCGAAGGGTTGCCTATCAAGCCGGCGGGCGGAGCCCCGTCGAGTCCGGGCGCCCCGGCAGAAAGGCCCGCAGCTGGCGCGGCCCGCGTGCCCCAGTTGGCAAACTTGGCAGGGATCCCTGCCAAACCAAACCGCGAGGACGGGACGCGCTTGGAGGACCCTGACGAGGGGCCTGCCCCAAGGCCTGCCCCGGGCCGGAGGGTGCGCGGGGTCGTCGTCAGGTCGTCGTCGGCGGGGGGACGGGGCTCGGCGGGGCGCTCGGCCCGCTCCGCTCGGGCGCGCGCCCCCGCCCGGCACGGCCGAGGCACGGCGGCAGGGCCACGGCTCACCCCCTCCCGCGCGCTGTGGGCGGGCCCGGCTGGCCGGCGGGCCGCGGGCGGGCGCGAAGCTCCACCCATCCTCCCCCCACCACTCGGCCGCCACCAGTCGGAGCGGGCCGACGAGCCGCCGCCGCCACCGCAGCGGGACGCAGCGACGCAGCGGGCCCGGGTGACAGCGGGGCGGCGGGGCAGGACCAGGACATGATAGAGCAGAGACAGGACAGCGCAGCAGCAGCACAACCATTTGCGGTCTCCGGCCGGCTGCGCCAGGCTGCACCATCCCCGTGCCCGTCGGGCCGCCTCACTCCCAGCCGCACCGCCGTGCCGTCCGCGCGTGTGTGTCACCAGTGCCGTGTGTGTGTGTGTGCAGTGATTGGATTTCCCCGCGAGCCTCTCTGGATTTTTCGAGGTTGTGCCATGAAGTGCGGACAGTGAGTGTCTCCCGGGACAAAGTGACCCCGCGGCAGTGAGTGCCTCCAAAGTGACTGCGGACAGTGAGTGCCTCCGCGGACAAAGTGACACCGCGACAGTGGCGCCCCTCGCGACATGCCGAGGACCCCCATCGCGAGCTGCTGGTAAGGACCAGGACAGTGCCGAGGATGTCAGAGGGCAGTGTTGGCCGGTGCTGGCTTGGAGGGACTTCGATTGCGGCTTTGGCGGAATGTGATTTTGGTGGGATTCCCTGGCGATCGGGACGTGATCAGTTGTGTTTCTCTGCGCGTCCGGCTGGAGGTTTGTCATGCCTGGAACATCGCGCTCCCGAATGTTAGCTCACCGGTTGCATGGACTGCATGGCTCGCGGTGCACTGCCGGTCGGCAAGCCTTTGCATCCGGCCCGGCCTGTTTGTCACTGCGGGCCGCGAGTCCGAGTCCCTGACGTGGCCGACGTCCGGTGCGCGACGCCGCGGACGTCCCCGAAGACGATCGGGTTTCCACCTGGCGGATAACGCGGCCGCCACACCCACGCTACCGACTGTGTGTGTGTGTGTGTGTGAGTGAGTGAGTGAGTGAGTGAGTGAGTGAGTGAGTGAGTGTGTGTGTGTGTGTGTGTGTGTGTGTGTGTGCGGCGTCGCGTTCGGCCCGTGCGCGCGGTGGGCCAGCTGGATCCGCAACGTCTCTAGCGTGTTGACAAGGACGCGGCGTGCCTCCCCGGGGTGCTCCGCGGCACCTCGACAAGCAAGACAAGCACCTCGGCCGGCTGAAACAAAAGGTGCACCGGGCCGCGGCCGCGCGGGGTGCGTGCGCGCCGCGCTCCGCGAGGAGGCCGTCCAGGCCATCCACGCGCCCAGGGACTCGGGGAGGTCGCATTGTTCCTAATGACATTACGGATCGCGGTGGTGGTGAAACGAAATCACGTTAACGGACTAATGAAAGTCGAGGGCTTGCTTGTCTTGGCCCTGGCCAACTCGGGCTCGGCGACGACGCTCTGGAAGGACCTCCTTGAAGTGCGGAGGGTCCTGTGTGAGGGCCGGCAGGGCCGCCCGGTTGCGAAACAGTGCACCGTTATAGTCCGCGACTCCGCGACGCGTCGCTTGCGCGATTCGGCGGCCGCGTTCGAGTCGGTCTCGGTCGGGCCGTCCGGGAAGGAAACCGCGGAGATAAGGGTCCGCTTCGGGGAAGGCCTGTGGCGGCGCGGGGTGTGCGGGGGCGGAGGCCTCGGCGGAGGCTGCGCCATGCCCTTTGGCTCCAGGTAAACACGAAACAGCGTGCGTGTTTGTGAATCAATGTTTGGATTGCCTTTGAGTGGCGCGGTGCCCTGCGACCCCCGTGCGGCCCCGCAGCGCCCACGACGACGTCCTCAGGGCTGGCCGTGCGGGGGAGGCCGCCCTCAGCCCTGGGGCCGCCTGGGGCCCTTCGCCTTGTCCAGCCCCTTCCGGCTGCCGGAAGGGCCGGAAGGCGAGACTTGCGGTTCCGGCGCTTTGCCCTCGGCCCGTCCTTAGCCCTTCCCTAGCCCGTCCTTACTGTCCCCGATGCGATGGGCTGCCTCGCGTGGTCGGCCAGCCTTGGCGGCTCTGTATTGCAGGGCACCGCGCCGCACAGCGCCCTCGCTAACAACCCTTCCACGGCCCGCCCCCTCCCTTCCGTTATCTCGCTTCCTCTTTCTTTGCCCTTTCGTGCGCCTTCGCCTGCCGAGCCCTGCAAGGGCTGCCCTGGCTGTTCGGGCTGCGGCTCGCATCCCCCGCCTGTGATAACGCCGCCCTTTCTCGGAACGCGCTTCGCCTAGCTTTGGCCGCCCGGCCTGTTTGGCCGCCAATCCGGCCGTTTGTCCCGCACCGCCGTGTTGGCCCGGATGAGTGTGTGAAACTGAAACTGCGGCGCTGGCGGCGCTGCCTTGGCGTGCACGTCGCCGCCGTCTCCCACACGAGCGTGATCGGCAAGGCCGGCAATTAGGCGGTCGGTGTCGTGACTCTTGAGGAACACGGCCAACGTGTTGTCGCCGCGGAGCCGCGCCTTGAGGCCGCGCCGAGCGTGCGCCGAGCGTGCGCCGCCGCGGATCGTAACGCCGGCGCACGCCGTCCCGCCCCACGCCCACGCCACGCCAAGCCAAGCCGCGTTCCCACCGACATTGACCGCCGAATTACCGCACCGCGACAGTAGCGCCACCTGGACGGCGTCAGCGCATGACGGGGTGTCAAATTCAGGTCAAAACTGACAAAAATGGTCCATTTTGAGTTCATGCTTGCTTTGTTAAAAATGTTGACATTCAGCCTGTTCTTCTTCGGGGAGGCGTCGCGTCTCAAACAGAGAGCTTCGCGAAAAAGTGTGAAATCGGAAAATGAGACAATGAAGGCCGTTCCCTCCCACCCCACACACCCGTCGCCCTTCGCCCCCACCTCCTCTGCTCGTGCGGAGTCTCTCGCGGTGTGTGCCATGCCGATTTGGGAGTGGGAATGGTGGGAATGGTGATCCCTGGCGCCGCGCGTCGCGCCATGTTCCGGCCATCATGTCTTCGCCCTGCTCGGCCAAACACTTGCCGACACCACACTGGCGGACTGGCCGGCCGCGATAAGCAGACGCCCATTAGTCTCGGTTAGAGAGTCATTACGACCATAGCGCCGCCAAAGCCACAAAAAGGTCGAAAAGAAAAATCCGCTCCGGGCCGGGATTCGAACCCGGGATTGGCCGGCGGCCGCGACTTGTAATTCGACTTTGTTGCAGGTGGTGACGGCAAGGCGTCCGACGACACATCCGCGCCCTCCCCCGCCGCCCCCGCTATGGACGTGATGGCCGCAGCCCCGCACCGCCTCCACCACGACGATGGCCTCGGCGACGCCATCGGCCACCTGACGGACCACTCGGACGACGCGGCCAGCCCCGCGCACAGCCCGGCGGCGAGCCCCGCGCGCAGCCCCGCGCGCAGCCCCGCGCCAGCCCCGCGCTGTCGCCGGCGCACAGCGCGCGCAGCCTGAGCCTCAGCCCCGCGCTGCGCACCTCGGAGGAGGAGGACGACGAGGAGGAGCGCGAGGAGGGCGAGATCGTGGAGGAGAGCCGCGAGCGGCGGCGGCAGGCCCGCGCCGAGGCGGAGCGCGTGCGGCTGGCGCGGCTGGCGCAGGAGGCGGAGCAGCAGGGCGCCGCGGACCGCGCGGCCGCCGTGCGCCACCTGCAGCTGCAGCAGCAGCTCATGCACCTGCAGCGCCACCAGCTGCAGCAGCACCCCGTGGCCCGGCTGCGCGATGACGTGGCGCAGCTGCTGCCCCCCGAGCTGGAGCTGCGCGGCGACGCGGGCGTGTGGACGCGCCAGGCCGTGCCCAAGGGCAGCCGCTACGGGCCCTTCCAGGGCAAGTGGACGCTGGAGCCCGCCGACCTGCGCTACGCCTGGGACGTGAGTAGCCAGCTTCCTTTCTCTGCGAGTGTACCAGCCGCGGCACCTGTCGCGGCGCGGGTCGTGCCGCGGCGCGCGGGCCGCGGATCACATTGCCTCTTCCGCGCGGACGCACACACGCGCCCCGGCACCGTAACGAGTGCGGCTTACTGCTGGTTTCGGTTTTTATCGGCCGCCTGTCCTCCCACGAGATTCCCCTCCCCTCCCTCCGCGAGCGGGGTGTCTGGTCCGAGGACGCCGCATGGACGCCGCGGACTTATCTCTGTAGAGTGGCCTGGGAACCGTGGCGCCTCGCCTCGGAGCCACAGCACAGGCGCCGCCGCTGTGGCTTCTGGTTCGTCTGGCCGGACACGTACTTTGGGAAGCACTTTGGACTTGTACACAAATTTGCCTTGGTTCGAATTTCTAACTGCGACCAGTTTCATTAGGTCAAGGTAGGTGGGGTTGGACTCGCTGGAGAACGATTAGTTATCAAGCAAAGGTGTTGATTCAAATCAATTACATTTTTTCACGCCAGCGCGAGTCATGACTTGCACCAGTGAGTTCTTTTTTGGCGATGTATGTCCTCTCCCACTCCCCTCCCCCATTGCCCCCCATCCCACCCCCTTGCGTCTGTCAAAGAGTCCTGAGGAAGTCGCAGACCAAGACGTCGTTATCACACGCACAGAAAGAAGGGCGCCAACGACGTGGACCAGATTTTTTTGTTTCTCTCTCTTGGTTTTCCAAGTGAAAGAAACGAGCCCTGGGCGGCGGCGGTGGTGCCGTATCTGTGGTGCAAATGTGGCGCAAGATATTCGCTTTTGCCCTCGCGGCGCGTTGCGGTGGTGTGCGGGGGCGGGGCCGCCAGGGCTGCGATTGGTTTAGTCACGGTCGGCCGCGCGTCGCGTCGTGCCGCCGATATGTGGCGGTCAGCTCTGCGCACCCCTCGGCCCGCCTCGGCCCGCCTCGGCCCTCTCTCTCGCACCCCCACGGGCCCACGGGACGCCCCATGAGTGCGAGGGAGAAGGCTCGTCGTTCGGAATCGGACCGCGCTGCCCGCTCACGCGTGCGCGGCTCAAACGTATACCGTCCGTTTTCACATGATTCTCGGCCTTTTGTCTCGAACTGCTGGCCTCCTTTTGTTTCGTTTCTAGCGCTCCTCAGTTCATTTTCAGTTCTGATTTTGGATTGGAAATTACAATACGGTTGGATTGGTTTTTCTGGTCGCTGAGACTCCCTAATGGTTGCCTACTTACAGGGGCTAAGTGCGATGTACCTTTCGAGGGAGGGGCAACGGTCCTGGATCCGCGCCGCGCAGGGGGTGTGCACATGAAGGGGTTGCTTGCCGAGCATTGCCGCGTCGTTTCGTTATTTCCGGCTCGGATCGCGATTTCGATTCCACTCCGATGCGGAAAACCGCGCCGCTGTCAACGTCTCACTCATCCCCGGTGCCGCCCGGCCCACGGCCTGCCCGACGCTCCTTCGTCTCAAAAAGGGAAAAAGTGAAGAAAACGAACATTGGAAGATTAGCCAGATCGAAGCGAGGCATGCGAGGCGGGTCTCCGTGCAGGTAGCGGGCATACGATACAGATGTCAATCGACACATCTGTCGGGCAGCCTGGCCCTGCCTGCCCCGCGGCGTCCGGCCACCGGTACAGTCCAGGCCAAGACCCCCCCCCCCCTCCCTCTGCACCCTCGGAGCGCGCCTTGCCTGTGCTCTGGGTTGACTTCTCTCTGACCAACGGCCTCAAAATTATTTTTATTTTTTTGCGCATGCAGAAGTCACTGTCCCTCCTCCTCGGTTATGAATTCGCAGTGGTGCTGACCCTTGGCTATTGTGCGCCATGACGCTTTGTGCGGGCTGTCTGTCTGTCTGTCTGTTCGTCCGTCACTCCGTCTCACGGTGGCAGCCGATCGCACAGAAATACGCAACCGCCAATCAAGGGATCCGAAACTGCCTCTTTTCACCCTTTTTTCGCGAATTTTCTCGCGACTTGCGCTCCGTTTTCGCCCTTGCCACTCCCTTGTTTCCCAGTTAATCCTTTCCCAAGGGGTTGCTCGCCGTGTCGCGCGGACAGTTTTATTTCGATACCCAAAGTCGTCCTGTGATCCCCGACGCCTTACCTGATTCCTCCGTGTTTTTATCCATGCCTGGATACACGTGTCTCCACACTGACCCTAATTTCCCCCGAAAAAAGGGAATAAAAGTGGCTGATTGGGGTGCCGCACGTCCCCTCCGCGTTTTTCCAAGCATGTCCCACAAATTCACACCTCCATGATACCGCGCGGCGTTTCGCGGATTCCGCCAGTGTTCTTTCGGCAAAAGCGGCAAGGCACTAAAAAAAGGGTGAAGAGCTCGCGTTTACGGTTTCGTCGACGGAGGGGGGAGGGAGCAGGGGGCTCCTGTTTTGCTGATGCGATTCCGCGCCGGACGTTTTGGGGTCCGTTTGATGGAATTGAAAAGGAGGGCTAATTCTTGGACGCGTCCTCGGTGCGTCCTCGATGTCCTGGACGTGATTGACACGTCCAGGCCATCCGGGCCTCAGGCCTGTGGGACAGGCATGACGAAACACTGCGCACCACTCAATGTAAATCACCCAGAAAAATGGTTTCTTAATCTTGAATTTTGTTGTATTTTATAAGAAAAATTTTCTTGACACATGAAAATTTTTCTTCATGGAAGAGAAAAAGTTTGGATCCAGAACACTTTTCTTGAAAAGAACGAGAAAAGTTAAATTTTCCTTGATCCAAGAAGTCTTTTTTTTGTGATGTGCTTTTTAGTATTCACCTACCCAAAATTGTACCCGCTAAAAGTGAATTGCTATACGTATGTATCGTGTGATCGTGCGGACTTTAGTGCGCGTCCTGTGGGGTGGTGTTAGGCACGCCACGCCCTGCCACGCCAGGGACGCATGTTTTGCATTACTCACGGACTGCAGGTGTGGCGTGGGGGCGTTTTATCAAACGTTGCGGAGGCTGGCCCATGGCGCCCATGACGTGCCCATGGCGTGCCCGCCGGCTGGACGTCACTGGGACGCTGTGTGGTGTGCTGGGGAGCCGGAGGGGACGTCCCTAAGCATTCAAAAGCAGCCAAACCTTTGTAGCTCGCGGCCAAGCGGCGCCAGACATTGGACGCAATGATTGTGTCCGTATGGTGCTCTGGCGGCCAGAAAATCGCGGGGTGCGGCTGGCGAGGCGCCGTACGCAGTAAAGCCCGCCGAGTGCCCGACACTGCAGGGGGCCCGCTCGCGTTGTCTTTGAGTGCCACCACACCGTTACGGCCAATAAACCCCGCCGCGCAGGACAGCCACGCCAAAAAAAAAAAAACACCTCTGAACACCTGCACGATCTGCACAGATGGCAAATTTTCATTCACAACAGACAATTCTGTCATGAAAAATCTACTACTACGGGCACGCTTCGGCAATGTTTGCCGCTGGCCCGTCGGCAGCAGCGCCGCGATGTGTTTGTCTGTTGGGGAGTGCGGGCTGGCTGGCGCGGCGACGCGTCACAATGCGACAGATCGGGACAGATCAACACCCGATGCGGGGATTAGAGTCCGGCCTCGCGTTGCCGCACCGCACGGGGGATGGCAAGGATAGGAAGATTCTCGCCCAAATCGCGCATTTCAGCAACAAAAGTATAGCGTCACTGTAACGGGAGTCGCGCCAGCCCCTGTGCGTGCGTTTGACGTGCCAGTGACGCGCCACTGACGTGTCCGTTGAGGTCACCAAGGCCGTGATCGTCATGCGACTCATTTGCATATCGCGTCACCTTGGCAATTAGCCGCATTGTCTCGTCCGGTCCAGCGTGAGCCAGGTCCAGCAGCCACTGGTACAGCCGGCACAGCCTCCAGCTCCACGGACTTGCCTTCCTTGACCCTGACGGCGACCTGCACAAAGCAGCGGCGCGTCCCTCGGGGTGTCCGTCCACCGGGTCCACCGCCACCACGGCGTCCACGACGGGCACCCTCAAGGGCGGGCAAGGGCAAGGCCAGGCAGCGGGAAGTACTTTCCAGCAACCACCGCACTCGAGGTTGTCCCTTGTATTTTTACACGCTTCTGGCCGCTGAGAACAACAAAAAATAACCACTTATTTCTCGCTCCCGGACCTTCCGTTTTGTCCTTTTTCGAGGTTCTCTTTTTGGCGGTTGTGCGGTTTGCGTGAAAGGCTGTGCTTAAGTGTGTGTGTGTGTGTGTGTGTGTGTGTGTGTGTGTGTGTGTGTGTGTGTGTGTGTGTGTGTGTGTGTAAAAAGGGGGGGAGTTGAAACAGTGAAGCGGTTCGCGAAGTTCCAACTGCTACTTCCCCCTCCCATTCCCTCTGCATGCAAATATTGCCGCGACTCACTTAACGGGCTCGCAATATACTACATTATCATTTCCATAATATCGAGTCTCTCTATATTTGTTTGAGTAAACACGCGCCTTTTTGCCTCGGCGGCCCCATTGTCTCGGCCGCGCCGCGTTTTGTCTGCCATTAGAACTGTTTCCGCCAGGCCGGCCTTTTTGCGTGCGCCGTGTGCAGTGTACGCAACAGTTGACGGACAGCGGGGGTCGCGGTGGCACGTCAATGCCCCCGCCGCCGCGGTGCCCCGCCCCGCCCCGCCCCGCCCCGCCCTCCGCGGCCCGGTGAGAGGGATCCCGAGGAAGGGGGAGGGGGAGGTACTGCCGGGTGCCCATGGGTGCTCTGCTGAATGGAACAGGCGTTGTTGCACCCCGTCATTTCTCCTCTCCTCAGCCCCGCCCCTCCCCCTCCCCTCCCCCTTTTCCTCGTTGGTCAGCGCGGCCTGCCTTACAAAAACACACTCGGCGATTGTGCCCGACTGGTCCATGGGCAACAAACACATGCACAGCCTCGCTCACTCACACACACGCACGGTGTCCTGCCTGTCCCCCTCTGACCCTCACCGGCCCAGCGGCCGGCCACCTCATCTAAAACACATTCTTCATTCCGATGATGAAGTCGGAGACGGTTCGCTGTGATTCTGCGTCCCCGTGTGTGTGTACAATTGTCGCGTCCAT